AAAAATGGACGCTGGCAAGGAAAAGAGGGTTCTAAAGGTATTTTTTTAAATAAAATGTTAAGTTAAAATATATCTATATTGCTCAATATAGCAGAAAAACGTGATCACGGTGACACAGAGAAAAAAAAAATAACTTTTCCTTGAGATGTGAGAATAACAAGCACAACAAATTTGACGGCTAATAATCTGAGATTTGCCTGTGTGAACGGTGCGATTAAAAAACGAGCTTTGATTGAGGTAATATTGATATGTGAACATAGTTTTAGGGTCGAGGATAATCTCTTTCCACTTACGGCTCTACAGGTCGACGGGTGGAGCCAAGTGGTGTAGCAAAACTTAAAAAATTACACAAACAAAAAAGTTTAGGGGGAGCCGCGATATACTTAAGATCACGGTAGAATTTACCATCTAATCTGCGTCATATACGGTTTCGGTTTGTATCTTAGTTTTGACTAGAGTACGAAAATTGTCACGCCCATAGGCCATAGAAAACCCACTGTGAAAACCGAATCTTTTTACTTTTTGCGGCAGCTTAAAAACATATTTACATGTGTACATAAGGACTTCTAACTACAATGACTCGTTCAGTCTATAGGAGATTATAGAGAAGATCGCAGGCGGATGCAGGAGGTGAGTGCAAAAAAGTCATGTTAACAGTTGATAGAAAATCTTGTTTAGCTCAGAGAGGGAAAAGTAAAAGTAGTAAATACAAAACTTGACAACATTTACTTACCCAAAGACATTCTAGAATCTAATCTGCTAACCGTTCAATAGCAAGTCTTATTTTTTCAATTAAATTTTTTTCTACTGTTTTTCATTGTTTTTTTTTTCATAAAACAATTTACTTGGAAATAAATACATGTGCTTTACATTATACGGTTTAACAAACCCCCTGTCGTCTGACACTTATATCGAGGTTCATATTTCAATTTCCTAATTGCCTTAAATTGTGAACAGTTGCAGTTTAGAAATAAAGTTCTTTCAGGGCCATTTTTATTGATGTCAATATTGTAGTAACTCCTTTATCGTGTACATCAAATTTAACTTTGTAAACAGGATTTAATCCTTTTAAAAATATTTTCAAACTAATACCTTTTTAAACCGTTTTCGTCTGATAGGTACTCGTGTTGTGTTACATATTTAAATTAGCTAATTCCATTAATTCATGTTGAGTTGAATTTTTAAATCCGGTGGCAACCCTCCTACATATACTTTGGAAATAAATGTCTTCAAAGAAATTTAGATTGATATCGATATTGAAGTAATTTATTTCACCCATCGCATATAATAAATTTAAATTTGTAAACAGGTGGCAACCCTCCTACATACAATTAAGAAATAAAACCATTTCGATCGATACCCATATTATGATAAGTGATTTTACTTATATATAATTTTAAATAATTTTTTTATCACGTTACTACACATCTTCAGGCCAAGCCCAGATTTGATAAGACAAACAAATTTTCGCCTATTATGATAGACTACTAAAAGAGAAACAGATCCACATTAACTGCAATCAACATACTTATGTACGTATGTATGTACATACATACATATGCCGCGATTAGGTTAAAAATATTATATAGAGATAGATATTTTATATAGAGGGTTTTCTAATAAAGGAGAGAGTACAAAATAAATTTCATCGAAATCGGATGAAATTTAACATTTCCGCCCACATTTGTGGGCCTATTTGTATAGACATAAAACCGAACACGTTCAGAAAAAACTGGAAGATATTCCAAAATGTGCCTATAAATAAGACTCGATGATTCATTGGAATATTATCACGCGTCAATGCGCGGGATCAATGAATATTTCGTGAAAATGGCGTAGAGGAAAAGATAGGTCAAATGCAAATGATGTTATCTACATATTTAGTATGTATTTGTTTATTTTAAATATTTATATTTTGCGCTCAGGAGTAGTTCAAATTCTCTCCTGCTGTATGCATGTAGTGACGTATTTACTTTATTATTCCCTTGATTAAATTTTTTATCAAGCAATTGAGAATACAATTATTTCATGTTGAGAGTTACTGTACTCAATTTCTCCGCGGATCACTGCATGGAGCGCAAGTGTCTGAGAAAATACTTCCAGTAATTGGCATTTTGCGATCGTATTGATGTTTCGTTGGCGCTCCAGACGCCCCAATTGGCCACCTGCCTGAAGCGTTGATTATTCTTAGTATTTCATCGCTCGCTGTCGGCATTCTTGCCAAACTGAGACATGTAGCCGCAACCAAGTAGTCCACTAATGGAATTTAAGGCTGAGCGGGCGCAGTTAATTAGCACAGCTGCGACGGGCTGCTTTGCCAGTTCGGCGCTGATTGTCGTCGCATAGTGTTGCCTTGCGGTTTTCCACAATTTACCGCTGCAATTTTCGCGCTTTCTTCTGTTTGACGTTTCATTCTTCTGGTTTTGTTATTTTTATAGCTGGTAGCGCGCAAGTAAATACAAATTTATTGTCTTTTAGTCGGATAATTGGCCGTTTGTGCAAATAGATGTAGATAAAATTGTGTTTTGCATAAAATTTTATGAGTAGATAATTCCCGCGCTAGTGGTTTACTAGTGTACCAGCTCCTAGGTAATGCATAATAATTAGACGTTTATTTTTATTTTTTATTTTTGGCGCGCGTGTGCTCTACAGTTGCTCCCTTTGTAAACGAAGTCGGAATACTTTTCATTATTCACTTTACATACACAATTAGTATTTGCATTTTTATCTGAGTGCGCGTCACTTGTTTGCTTTGCTTTCTCTTTTTCGGCGCTGTTTTTTTTTATCACTTTCGGCTGCTGTTTCAATTGCGGCTTGGTTGGTACTCCAGCAGTCGCGTACGACGACGCATGTATCCAACGGGCCAGACGGCATACGCATACTCCGCATACAGAACGTCAAACAGCGACATTGCGGCGAGGTGCAATTGAGTGTGACACATCTTGGTAAGCCAAGTTCGACGCTACGCGCTTACACTAGCCTCATTGTGCTGCCAGGACGCACGCCTACAGCTGAGCAGACTCCACGTCCACATACAAGTGACGACGCTGATAAGACAATCGAGGCGCTAATACAGCCCGAGCAGGTCGAGGTGCCTGCATGCATTTTGGAGGGACCACAGGATTGTACCGCTCTCATAGGTGGAAGCGTTAAGCTAAGCGTCAGCTACGAGGCTGTACCGCGCGCACAAGTCAGCTGGTTCAAAGGGGTGAGTACATGTATGAAATATATGTATGTATTTATGTATGTATTTATGTAGTTGAAATATTTTTATTTATATATTTAATTTTTTTTTAAATGCAAGTTGAGTGGGCTTCCAGCCCACTTCGACAACTGCATTCTCCTCTGGATTTGTTTTCGTTTTGCGTAATGGCACATGCATTGCTTTATTTTACCATAAATGTGCTTTAAATGTTTGCGGTATGCAGTTGCCGTTTGACGATTGGGCAGATGGTTGACGTTGGCGCACCTTTAAAGGTGAATCGCTGGGAAACTAGTACGCAAACTGCGTCATTGTAAATGGTAATAACACAAGGCGACTTCGTCATTAACGCCTTTATTGCTACATAAGGGCTTACAGTAGCTAGAGAGAGGAATGGATATGAGGCGCATTATTTATAATGGCAAATCATTTCGACGTTTATATTTAGAAATCGCAAACAGAAACTATAAGTGCTCGTATATACAGTAGCGGGAAAATAAATATGGACGCAACATTTTAACAAGTTTTGGCTTTTTTTTTTGTTTATTTAATGTTTGATATTTTTTTTAGCTCACCATCTAACGAAAGCCATGCAAGTCCAAATTTCACACTTTAGGCAAAAATTGTGAAAATTCGACAGTGATTCATGAAAATCTCGAAAGTTTTTAAACCGGGCTTAAAAAAATATTACGCAGTTTTGTAGCCCATGAAATTTTAGTGCAGCAGACTGCAATTTTGAAGTATCTGGGACTTACCTTTAATTTTAGCACTTTTTGCGGACAGTGTCAGTAAGTGTAAGGACAGTGTATAGTAAGTATGTTCGAATTTTTTTTAATGGAGGAAACTAAACAACACCGTCACACAGATTTATTGAAATTCGTCAAATTTTTTATAAATATTGTACAAAGTTTGGAATTTAATAAACGTTAAATCAACAAAGTGAAAATAGCGAAAAAATTGCTAAAATGTCGCGTCCGTGTTTATTCGCCCGCCGCTGTATATGGCGCTAACAGAAATAGCAATAGTTACGACAACAACAATAGTTACAACTCGTGAGCTCCCCTAATGTAATACTGAAATACGAAATTTGTAGTTCCACTATTTACCTATTCTATGATTCCCCAAAGTCGATCTTGCGATTTCCATTAATTTTTGCTACATGCCCTATTCTCTATTAACTTGTTATTGTAAAGCTTCGCAAAGAAATACTAATCGAATGCTTAAACTCCTCTTTTCAAAGTAATAAGCCCTGCAAAAAAAATCGACTAACCCTGAACCGGTGTGTCACTAGCGAATCCTGAATTGTATACTATTTTATTTGACACCACAGCCATTTCTCATTTTTGGCCGAGACCAAAAGACTTAGGCAATTCCCCCTCACCTTTTTTTTTTAATTGAAATGCTAAATTGCTTGAAAATTAAATCTTTAATGAATTTTTAAAATTTATAAATTACTTTATAAATTAAAGGGATTATATAAATTTGTTTAAATTTGAGTGCATCAAAAAGAATTTCTTACAATATAAACTTAATAATTTATGTGTCTGAATTATATGTACTTATGTATATACACACACTTGCATACAATTGAATAGCGACAGGCAAAATCTGAATTTATTTTTTACATGGAAATTATTACAATTTTATCATATTATAAGAAAACGAATAAAGTACTTGTCAAAATAATAGCACCACAACATTTTTAACAGTTTTGACTATTTTTTGTTTGTTTAGTGTTTACTAATTTTTTATAAAAGTTGTATTAAACATAAAAAACTACAAAATCATTAAAATTTCAAGCTTTTTAATTCGAATTTCTATACAAATTTTGTGTAAGCGGTTTTATAGCTTATTAAATTTTACTAAATATAACTCAGTGTAAACTTATAGTTGCTAAAAATTCCAATAACTAAATTTTTTTTTTGCCGACTGTATTGTTAATTTTCTTGGATAACAAAATAATGTAATGTAATAATGTAATCGATAGTGGCGACAGTTTCCAAGTATCGATATTACTATCGATAGTATCCCAGCTCTAGTATGTACGCCTACCTGACTTTACGGGTGTTTTCCAGACAGAGGTAATTGCTATCGCCGAAGACCATAACATAGGCCACTCTGCTTGTCGCAACACTTCCGGAAATGAAATTGCTTATGAGTTAGTGAGAAAGAGTTCCGGACTAACCGATTTAGAGGCTGGGATCTCACTTCTAATCGCATGGATATACAGGGAAATTTCCCCCATTATCTTAACGACATTATCATTTTTGGTAAAACAATTATCAGAACGGACGCTCGGATGTACGCTCGAAGCATTTGTTACACCTAACAGCGTGATTTAATTGTCTTCTCACTCTTTAATCAAATGCTCGTTAAAATGTCTCGTTGGTCTCCTCATCCTTTTCTTGCGTCGGTTGTGCCCACAGAATGCAAGCTTTGGTGTGAGTTGTGCCTACTCGTTCATTGAAAATAAGTACACATATACATACAGTTAGCGATAAAAATATGCATACCCTGTCGATTTGACGATTTTAATTACATATACATATATATTTTCCATACCAATTTTTCCAATTTTTTTATGAAAATATATTTCATTCAACAGCAAAAAACCACAAGAATAATATGTATATATGTATATAAACCACAAGAATAAAATGTATATATATATACCAAGTAAATTGTATCGAAATTTTCAATTTTTCAATTCGATTTCTTTGACAAATTTTGAGTATGTAGCCCATTAAATCATAGTATAATAAAGTGCAAGTTGCTACAAATAACCGTTGAGTTTTTAGAGCGAAAAAATTTTCAAAAATCAACGGTATATTTTTCTAAGAAACCGAATTGAAATTGAAAATTTCGATAAAAATTTCTTGCATTTTCCCGAGTTCTTAACGAATGCTGTTGAATGCAGGGACCGAACGTAACAGTTACTGATGAAAACTGTCATTGAAAAATTCATTATGAAGCAAATGTTCTACAACTAATTGATACATACCAATCGATTTATTTTTTCACCGATACTAAAATTTGAAAATAAATTTTTATTTGCAATTATTTTGATAAATTAAAAAGAATAAAAATAATTTTTGATTTCTGAATTATAAATCCAAAATAACAATTATTTTTGTTTTTATATTATATGTCTTAGATAACTGTTATTGAAGACTTTTATTTATAAAAGTCATAAATGAAAATCAGTCAGTTGTTATTTTGGATCTATAAAATTAAAGTCCGAAATAACGGTTATTTAAGGAGTAATTAAATAAAAGTCCAAAAAAAAATTATTAAAGAGCGATTTTTTTAATAAAAGTTGTAACTCTTACGGTCCATGGTTGAATGAAATATATTTTTATAAAGAAGTAATTTTTATGCAAAAAACACAACCGACTTCAATTCTCATATAAAAATTTAGGTGTACTGTTAATTTCTTCATGATCCAATTATCGGATCTAAACCAAATTAGTACGGGACCACCTGGGAGACACTACATTTCCGATAGAAAAAGAATTATCAGAATCGTCGACGTGGTCCTAAGATATGCGATAACATCCATAAAAAAATATATATTCCGACGAATTGATAACCTTCTCCTTTTTTGAAGTCGGTTAAAAATAAAGAAACGTTTTCTATGGAAAATATAACTAAATAAAATCGTCAAAACCTCCGGGTGTGCATATTTTTGAAGCTGATCTGGCAGGATCTAATTTTCCCGCCGAAGCGACTGTTCTAGCGAAAGCGCGTAACTACCTCCGCGTGGCTGATAACGGGAATCCTCGTATCAGGGTTCTGAATGCGTTGATTCGGCAACTGGTAAACCAGTACAAGCGGAAGAAGTGGGGGATCACCTGAAAACTTGCAAATTAACCTCTGGTGTGAGCAAGCTTTGGTGAAGCATAAGGTCACTGTCCACCACGACGAAACACGATGACAGAGTGGAAATTTAATTCGGTGATCGTTCCTCGTCGGGCGCGGAGAGATGCGCGAGCCATTTGAGCCGCCAATTCATTCTGCATCATCCGGTGGGCGGAACCAAACGTCGAGTGATCAAAAGGCTGCACAAACGAAGTCGCCTTCTTGTTTTAACCAGCGGTGAGGTACAGGTGTTGCCAAGGCGCATCAATACAAGGTGGTGGCAATTGCATATAAGTAAAAGTCCCGTGTATTTTGTTATTGCTTTTTGGTACAGGAGGATGTCAAAACGAAAGGGAATAGGAGATAATTTTCGCCATTTCGTTTTGTTGACATCCTAAAGTTGAGCTGTCGTCCATGCTACTAGGAGACTAACGGTGATCGGATAATTATCTGAGGGTCCGAGACTCGGCAATTGTTTTTTAAGATAAAAACATCAAAACCTAGGGTTTACACAGGGTGTTGTCCTCTCCCCGTTGCAGTTTAATTTCTACATTTCGAAACTCCCCCAACAACAAGAGGCAGAAATCTCTCCCCATGACACCAGCCACCTCTTTACATGCGCACACAATCCAGCTCACGTATTGAATCCTACTCAGTTCAGCTTGCGAGTATGAAACTGTGATCGATTTTTTTTGCACTCGGTAAATACTTTTTTTCCTACCTAAAAAAATATTATCATGTTTCTTTAACTAAAAATGTCATAATGCCACAAGAGACGTTCTTATTAGAAGCACGTTCTACATAATTAGTTCGCCTGGGAATGTTTTGAATTCACTTTTTGCGCTAAACTATTTATCAATGCTCCGTCATTTGGTTTGAGGTTTTATGTAGCTCATCATTTTCCAACTCGTTTTAAAATTACTGACGTAAGCAAAATTCATAAAATATATAACGCAATTATAAACAAAAGTAAAATGCTTAGATAAACATAAAAAATAATAATTTTGAGTAAAAAGAAGAAAAATGTCACGATCAGTTTGCGGTGAAGGTGCCTGCCTGCCTGCCTGCACCACTTGAATAGCTACAGTCCGTGGTGGCGTTTGCCTTAACACCCAATTGGCGCAATATGGGTGGCTATGTGCATAGTACATATGTATATATTTGTCTTAACACTCCTACATACATACATATGCATATACACCGAAAACCACAAGAACAATGTTATTTTCTGTGGCTGTACTCACAACCAAGGCTTGCTCACATTTCCAAGGGCTTATTACGATAAACTCGCAAAATGGCAAATAGGGGGGGGGTGGCTAACCGGCGCTGAGTGACTGACTGACGGACTGACTGACTGACTGATGGACTGTCGTCTAACGAGCTAACTGTCTGCTTGATTTGTTGTCTCGTTTTGTGTTGTGTTGTGCCCCATAAGTGATTGCGAGTGGATTACCTGTGATCGATTGATCGATCGTTTGTTACTCAGCTGTGCTGTGCCCATGGATTCCACCTGTCTTCACATACCGACACGACGTTTGTTCGCTTATTGCAAACACATATTTGCTGTCACTTCAACACCTCAAACCACATCAAATATTTATTGTAACATTTTAGCGTTCAGGGTACAAACTAATTAATAATCACATACTTTTGTTCGTTTGATTAATTTATTTATTTTTTTGAAATATCTTCTTTGTAGTGCCGTCCCATTGTCGAGCAGCGTAACATTTGTATACGTAGCAGCGCTAAGCGTTCAACGCTTTTAATCACCGACATTGCGGCCGATGATAGCGGCAAATATACGGTGGAGATTATGAATGCGTTTGGCAGCGATGCGGCGGCCGCTTCGGTGGCGGTGGAAGGACCACCAGATGCGCCCAGCGGCAAGCCAAGTATCTCACAAGGTCCCGATCGCATTGCGGTGGCATGGTGTGGCCCACCCTACGATGGCGGTTGTATGATAACTGGTTTTATGTACGTAAAAGCCACAATATCCAAATATATTTCGATAATTCATTCTAAAGCTGCTGGTGTGCTAATCCGTGTTTTGTTCTTTAAAATTTCAGCATTGAAATGCAACAGTTGCCTACTGCCGCACCGAATGTTGAATGTGACGAATTGACTGATGGCGAAAGCGGCGGTTGGCATGAAATCGCTACCGTTGTGGACTCATTAGCGTACACCGTTAAGAATTTGACACCGAACGCCACATATCGATTTCGTGTGCGCGCCAAAAATGTACACGGCTGCAGCGCACCCAGTTTGCCCAGTGACGCAGTTGAGTTGCAAGCTCAAGAAGTTTCAACTGAAGGTAAGTGAGGAGGGAATGGATATTTCGGGCGATAATAAAGAACATAAAGGTGACTAGATTAAGACTAAATTTGGATTATGATGCATAAATGGAATAAAAATTTTTATCTTCGAAATTGGCTTTATTGCTTGTGAAAATATATCGCATTTGCTCAAACCGTTTTCCGCACTCCGATTGTGGTTGTTACTTATAAACTATATGTAGGTTTCTCTTGGTTAGCAAGAATAAAAAAGAGTAATTTGGCCCCCAAATTGGGGCAGTAGTACAGCAAATGGCTCATGATTTCGATCGGATCAGTGCATTTATTTTTTATTTTTTCATGTTGGTCGGAAACTGGTCTTGAACCCAGGCCCTGTGGAATGGTAGCGCGCACTACTAACCATTATACCACAGCATACATACTTAAGTATTTATTTAAAAAACGCGTAGCTCGGGGCAATAAAGAAGAGAGGAGAAGAGGAGGTGAAAAAATGAAATCGTGTTTTTTAGGAAGGAAAGAGTGCCCATCATAGCATATAGGCGGCATATGACATTCTGTGCCCGTTGCCAGATGTCATTTGTCATTTATAAGGCTTGTTTAATACTAAATTTCATACCAAAGTATGGACCTTGACGAAAGTTTTTTTTATTCCACATCGCATGTGGTAAACTGCCGCTTAGAAATTAGCCTAAAAGTTAATTTGGCAAAAACGGGCATGGAAAATTTCCCAGCTTCAGCTACCTGTTAAGAAGGCTCTAATACCCAGAACGCCCTCAAATCAGATGTGGCTGGATATAGTCAGTAGTTGTACGACCTATTTTATTCTACGGCATCGTAGCCTGTGACCATCAACGGTCTAAGTACAATGAGGAATGCGCCAACATACAAAGCCTCTAGAGGCCTTGCTGCATCTTCTACTTGTGGTTTTGTGTACTATTTGGGAAACCTTAGTTGCACTAAATGGAATGACACGAGCTGCGAATTAGAACTCAAGGTGTGAACAAGAACTCTTCTGAACCTCAATTTTACGTTACCAGATTTCTGCAGTATTTTGCATTCCACGAAGTTGTAAGGGGTTTGATCGATAGGCAGTTAGCTACTAAATCAATATCGAGAATAGTCATGGAGTGTATAAATACTAAAGGTATGCATCGGAATTCAGTTTGCTTCACTCTGAAGTTTTTTTCAAATATGTAAACTACTCATACTCTAACAAAAAGGGTATGGAAAGAAGAGAAGTGAAGATATTGAGCGCTATATACATAAAAAAAGGAATCAAACAAATTATGTTCCGAAAAAAAGAGGAACATAAATCAGCCGTACCATGCTGTTAAACTTCCACAAAAAAGATGTTCCTTCACAAGTATTTTTTGAGTATTTTTGGAAGTTTTCGTTTAATGCTACATAATGTTAATGTTAGAGCTGACTCTTATGTTAAATAGCAAACATGGAGAAACAATGTAGGGCGCTCCGAATATTTAGCCAACAGTATATTTTTATAAAGAAAGTGGACTCATTTTATACAAAGAACCAATTTTTATTTGTACAATACGATACTTTCATTTCCCAATACTAGGCGCACATACATATGAAGTAGCAAGCTTTCCATACGCATACATTTGTTTGTAGAAGATTTTAATGCTTTTGTAGAAGCCTTTGGAAATTCACAAAGTAGAATTTTGGAAATTTAAAAATGTATACAAACAATTTTCTGCTTAGAAATAGAAAACTTGTTACTTCACATGTATGAGCGCCTGGTATTAGGAAATGAAAATATCAATTTGACAATAAAAACTGATCATAAAGCCAGGTCGCGGGAAAAAGGACACACATTTCTGGATATTTAAAAAATTTACATAATATGTATGTATGTACATTAATCATGTATATGTATGAAAGATTTGAACTTTTTTGCCAACATTGAAGCGTCCGCCGATAAATGTAAAACAATATTTTAAGTATATATTGGAATAAAAAGGAAATGTATGTCTTTTCTTAACAATATCGAGCACTAACCGCCAAAATAACGTAAGTGACATTGCATGTAATAAATACATATTCCTAATGTGTTGCCAAAGAGGCTTGCCTTACATACATATCGTCGCTACCATGTCAAACTATCGAATGTGCAAAAATGCTTTTTTTCAATTACTATACGTTGCGCGTGCGTTAAGAATGATACGCAAGTTGGCAAATCGTCAAAAATCGAGTCTTATTTAAAGCAGAGGATACTGGCTTTAACAAAGTGTCGAATCCCACCCAGACTTTTTCCTACGGCAACCGTTTTTGCAGCCGTTTTTTTTGCTCTCCTAAAAAATACCCATTTTCACATTCGATAGTTTGACATGGTAGCGACGCACGATCCAGAAAATAAAGGTCGCGCCATTCGCGGACCGCTAACCCTCTCTTCGTCGATTTGACAGCATCCACCCAATCGCTGACGTCATAAAATACTTTTGTTTACATTCACTGTTGCCAACTTGATGCTTTTCGCACCAAATTTAGTGGGTATTCAAAACGTGAAAATTTTTGAGTTTTGCGCTAGGTGCGTTTTTGGTGCTTTTGTTTTTAGTTTGAAGACACCAAATTAGAAAATCTCAAAAAAAATTAAGCAAAATTTATAGCAATCGTAAGTGTGGTAAGCAATTTTACAAAAATTTTAACAAAATCATGGCACAATGACAATCATAAGTGACAAAGAAATATGTGGCAGCACCTTCAAGCATGCCAGAAGAAATCGACCGTTGTGCAAGAAACATTGATTTTTGAATCGGCATCCTTACAATAAAATTATGTATTCATATAAAGTCCATAAAATACATCAATACAAATTTGGTGCTTTTTCAAAGTCAAAGCTTGGCAACACTGCCTTTTGGTCGATGCTTCCTCTTTTTCTTGTCGAGTACGTCTTGCTCTCTCATTCTGGTATTTTTTGACGTCACGGCCAGTTGCTCTCAGCTCGATTGGCGCAATCTTGTATTCTATAATTCTTGGTAGCGACGATATTCATATATAGAATTAATTCTGCTCCTCGGCAGGTGAATATAAGATTATCTGCAGATCTAGCCCACTCTTTCAAAAGCTGCAGCTCCTACTTCGACTTGAAATCGGGGTTATTATAGACCGCTGATTCATGGTAACGCACGCAAAACAGAAAATTTAAACTGTCGAATAAATTATATCGTAGCTATCAATGGGTATTTATTTGGCGGCTAAAGTGTGTCGACCTTCAATGCTGGATGAGGTCATCGACTTATATATGTTTATATTTTTACTTTGGTCCCCCAAGCTTTTAGTTATTTAGTCGGAATAATCATGATAGTAGGCTAATAAATCAGATCATGCCGGTCCTCATGACAAATTAACGGGTTAAGGAGGGGGCGAAAAGTTTGAGATCTTGTCATCCGTCTGGAACTTGAGCTTAAATTGGGCTATAAGATCCCATATTACTGGATTGCCAAGAGCAAGATAGTCGGGACAAAATGAGTAGAAGAGCAAAGCAGGTTGTCCTCTTTGGCAAAACAGGGAAGCGAAACTGTTCGTGAAAGATTAGCCTACAGAAGGACCGTAAGAGAAATTGTTCGCCCTTTCAGCTCTAATACCACCAACGCTTTGTATCCTAGGCAGGTAGTTGCATTTTGTGTTTACGTCGAACCTCATTGTTAAGATTCGGGTTTAGATTTCACAAATCAAAAAATTTTGACAACGATTTGGGAATGTTTATTATCACTAGAATATGCCTGTTTGTTAGTTATATATGTAATTATTAATTTAAAATTTGGTTTGCTTTTCTCTTCCAGACTTCCACAGGCCGATTAGCGTTAAGTCAGGTGGAGATTTTAAAAATCGCTTCGAAGTGCTCGAGGAGTTGGGCAAGGGGCGCTTCGGTGTCGTCTATCGCGTACAGGAACGTGAGGAGCCACGACAAATACTCGCCGCAAAAGTGATTAAATGCATTAAAGCGCAAGATCGTCAAAAAGTATTGGAAGAGATATTGATAATGAAATCATTGCAACATCCAAAGCTATTGCAACTTGCTGCTTCTTTTGAAAGCCCACGCGAAATCGTAATGGTGATGGAATAGTAAGTGAAGCAATGAAATTGCAATACCTTCACATTCTAGTTAAAATTTCTAACGTATACTAACTTTCACTCACTTCATTACAGCATCACTGGCGGTGAGCTATTCGAACGCGTTGTAGCCGACGATTTCACGCTCACCGAACGCGATTGCATACTCTTCCTGCGACAAGTGTGCGAAGGTGTCGCCTACATGCACACCCAGTCGATTGTACACTTGGACCTGAAACCAGAAAATATTATGTGCCATACACGCACCAGCCATCAAATTAAAATAATCGATTTCGGTCTGGCACAGCGGCTGAATATGAAAACGCCAGTGCGCGTACTATTTGGCACGCCAGAGTTCATACCACCCGAGATAATTAGTTATGAACCCATCGGTTTTCAGTCGGATATGTGGAGCGTGGGCGTCATTTGTTATGTGCTGTAAGCTATTACTCGAATATATTGGTGCTTTGATTTCTTAAATACACAGACGAATTTTTTCTTCCTCTTTATACCAGCTTATCTGGCTTATCACCTTTCATGGGGGACACAGATGTGGACACTTTCTCGAATATAACACGCGCCGATTACGATTTCGATGATGAAGCTTTCGATTGTGTATCACAAGAGGCAAAGGACTTCATTTCGAATCTGTTGGTGCATCGCAAAGAAGATCGTTGGACAGCCAAACGATGTTTGGAATCGATTTGGCTAACGCAGGAACATGACGAAAATCTCAGTAATAAAATCTGCACAGACAAACTAAAGAAATTCATAATACGACGCAAGTGGCAGGTAAGTTATTGAAAAGAAAGACATTTTATTTTAGTTGCTCTGGAGTTTTTTTCCTGGCAAAATGTAGTAAAGAACCAGCTAATTTTTTAAACTTTTCATTGGAGGTTGAAATTTCCATTTGAAGCTAGCAATTTTTTTCTCATTAAATCTCAGGCAACTATCAAGCGGACCATCATGCATAGTAGCGGACATGGCATAAACAGCGTTGTCGCTGTATCTAATGCTATTATATTTAGAGATACAATTGCTTATCATCACAGCTTCTTTGATACTCGACAGCAAACGCTCCAAAGTCCATAAATCTTTCGTATAATATTTTTTGGCGAACACTCCAAGGTAGTGGTCTGAAACTATCGATAGTCGACACTATCGATAGTATGCGATAGTTGTTTAGAAACCATCGATAACTATCGCTAGTTATCGATAGTCGTCTAAACTTACGATTTGGCCTTATATTGCGCTTGGCATATTTGTAAAAAATTTTTCTTACATAATCAGTATATCGCTTGCTTAGAATGAAAAGTAGCTGATTCCATTTTTAGAAATTTGACAGGAGAGTAAGAAACTTCTCATAGCCATTTTCTTCAAAATTTTATGAAACTTTTAAAACAAGATTTTACGTGTTTAAAGCAAAGCAAACCTTTATACGAATCGGAAGGATTCGTTGCTAATTAAAAAAAATCGAATTTTTTTAGAGCTATTTATTTTCTATTAGTTCCTGTCTCGAATC